GTTTGTTAAAATTTCCAAAGGGTGCCACGACTAAAAAAAGGTTGGGAAACACTGGAGTAGACTACAATGCCGGCTGTTCTGACTCACAGTCTGTAAGTACGTTTTCATTTAAAGGATTTGCCACTGATGATTCAAACGTGAGTTTTGGGCAGTGTGGAGTAGCACTTGTTGTTTGTCATTTCTTCGATCACAAATGCAGACAGAGTTTTATGTTTACGCGGCGCGATGCAATGCAACGCATCGCAACGCGTAAAAAGACAGTATAAGTCATTATAATCAGTAATTATGTCCCCACTGGATGCAACAAATGCCTCGTTTGTAATGGGTTTTAATGTTTATGCCTCGTCGTTCCGGCTGGACACGGCATCAACAGTATGTGAGAGGTGTAACATTTCCGTCTCACTTCGGCCAATCACAACGCATTGGATAGCTGGCCAATCACAGCACACCTCGCTTTTTCAGACCGATGAGCTTTGTAAAAATCGACGCGTTTCAAAAAGGCGGGGCATAGAGGAGAAACAATAATGTACAGTATGTGGAAAATAATGTGTTTTTTGAACTTTAAACTGCATAAACACATTTCATTACACCAAATACACAGCACTTTTTAGCAGCATCATATGACCCCTTTAAAACCACAATTAACCGTCTGGTTTTTGCAACTTTCACATTGGAGCAAAAATCTGCCTTTAAACTTGAAAGAAATAAAATTGGACATTTATCGTGATAATTATCGATATCGACTGATATGAATTTTTTTTTATCGTGATCATTTTTTGGCCATATTGCCCAGCCCTAATTTGAAGTTAAACTATGCAAAAATTAGATGTTGCAACTAGCTGAAATAAAATAAGTTTTTAATAAGTTTAAAATAAGTTTCTTTTATATATTTTACTATATTTCAACTAATGTTTATTTCAAGTAAGTAAAAGTTTTTTTTTTAGTGTTAGTATTTTTTATTTTTTTTTAGTATTAGTTAACAATAACAACCTTGCTGTTACCCGTGGGGTCACACTAAACTTTCATTCATGATAACGTAGTGTATTTTTAATATATTTTATTGAGTTCATATTATATTTTCATGCATTTATTTGCATATAATTATGCAATAGGATGTCATATGCCCATTTCCAATATAGAATTTAAAATTTCTTTATTTAATAAATAAATGCAAGATCTCTCTCTCTCTGACTTTCTCTGTCTCTCTCCCTCACTCATTCATATTCTTAATTGCTCATGCTCAGAGTCTAGCGTAACTGCACTTGTACTCTGATCACCCCAGAAATACCTGAAATGCTTCCATTTTCCTGCGCTCTTCATTCTGGGCACATTTGGCTCATATGCTTTTAATACTTTGATACTTTAATATTAAGTTGTGGTATTGTAAAATGTCATCATTCACACCATTATTTCCATTTGTGAGGTAGACCAAGTTCTCTCTTATCCTCCACACCGCTAAACCCCAGGCATGTCTTGGCCTTGTGACTTTAATATTGCTGTCTCTTTATTCATGCATTTCAGCACTCGAGAAGCAAAAGCTATTTTTTGCCATTTCATGAATCCGAATCACATACACCTTCAGCTTCCTGACAACCCATCTTGCCTCCATCACATTCTTAACATGCAGTACACTCTTGATGCGAGGAGGAGAGCCGAGTGCGTGCTCAAGAGGCTGAAACAGTCTTGTGAAAGGATTTACAGTAATTGCAGACTGACAGAAAGTGCACAGGCTCCCATAATTCTCCCTGCATTCTGAATCCCCGGTGTGTTCATATCGCGACCATGCATCTTTAGGCTTTTAGCTCAATTAGATTATCCATTTGATCCAGTCTCACATAGATGACTGATTCTAAACAAGCCGGTTACTCCAAGGAATGTCTGTAATCTGAGAAATTTGAGGATTTAGTTTGTTTCCCGTGTTTGTAGAACAATGTTAAGGTTAAAAGGTTTATCAGCTCAGCTGTTGCGGATGCATGTTTTTTTCAGAACTTCCATTGGATGTCATCAGGACGCAGACCTTCACCTGCAGTGATGAAATGCTTTGCCTGTTTTGCAGGGAGAGTTAAAATGGAAAACGGAGCTGAAAAAAAAGTGCTTCCTTACTTACATCCAAATCTCTGTCAACTGCAAATGTCACCTCCTCCTCAAATGCAACATTTTCTGTAAAAACATTTTCTCTGTTTTTTGTGTGTGAGGCATTGCTATTACTATTGCTCATATTTTGGAGTCTGTTCTAGAATGTAAGATTTTCTCCATGTTGCACGGGCATTTTATGTCTTTATTCTTTTGGAAAAACAAAGATCTGGTAGGAGACACAAAGAACTAGATGAGGGAGAATTTTGAATAGAGGAAAACGATACAATTTGATTGCAGATTAAAAGTATTAGATACATTTAATATTGTGATTTTGCTCTAGTATTTATCTTGTTAGGCTGATAACTTTCTTATCAGTAGAAAGATGATGAAACTGTAAGATTGTGAAATAATATTCTAATTTAAAATGGTTTTGTATTTTATTCTATTTTAAAATGTAATTTATTCCCGTGATGGCAGAGCTGAATTTTCAGCATCATTACTCTGGTCTTCAGTGGCACATTATCCTTTTCATTTTAATCATTTTAATATAATGCTTTGTTGCTCAAGAAACATCTTATCAACATTGAAAATGGTTGTGCTGCTTTATAATTTTTGTGGAAGTCTTTGTTTCAAAATTATTTGATAAATAGAAAGTTAAAAATAACAGCATTTATTTGAAATGGAAGTCTTTTGCACTATAAACTTAATGTCTTTACTGTCACTTTTGATCAGTTTAAGGTGAATAAAAGTGTTAATTTCTTTAAAAATTAACCTTACTGGCCCCAACATTTTGAACAGTATTGAACTTATTTCTTAAGTAGCTAAATAACAGTTGGTCTGTTAATATCACAAAATGAAGTCACATTCGAATTGTTTTTTTTCTATTGTCCTCATAAAAAAGAATAAAAATAAATAAAGATACAGTGTTTGTCATATTGCAGGTACTTTATGGTCTGATTCTGGAGAGAGTTCTGACCCAGAAACGTACTGAATGTCCCATATTTCCCAGAAACACTTATGTTTCACCTTGATTTTAAGTCTGAATCTTGGTTCTGTTGCTGTGCAATAACGCTACAAAGTATCCACAGATCATGCATGCTTAAATAGAGGGATGTTAATGTGTGTGATCCACGTGAATGGCTCTTACAGCGTCCTGATGGGTGCAGGGAAGATGGATCTGTCTGTGGTTTTGTCCAGTTCATGAGTTAAGTGCACAGATGGTCCTGACAGCTCGCAGACGGGAGCCTTTCATTATGTTTGATCAGTGTCTCTTTCTCGGTTTCTCTCTCACATGCAGGAAAGACCAGAATCTCCTGTCTCCGGTGAACTGCTGGTACCTGTTGCTGAACCAGGTTCGACGGGAGAGCAAAGACCATGCGACACTGAGTGACATTTATCTGAACAACGTCATCATGCGCTTCATGCAGATTAGTGAAGACTCCACGCGTCTTGTCAAAAAGGTCAGAACTGTTTTCGATTACATTTCCAAGATGTGCTGTCTCTAAATGTCCCGTCAGAAGAGTCTCAAAATAAATGTTTTAACTCCTGAAACCAAGTTGATTTGTATTTATAATAAAAAGTGTGTATTGCATTGCGCGTAAAATGTGCATTTAAGGAAAATTCATTGCCAATTCTAAATTGGCAGACATAATCTCTTGTAAAAAATAAAAATTGATAATCTAGCAGAAGATATACTATACTGTTCAAAAGTTTGGGGTCAGTATTTATTTTTTTATTCAGAAAGGGAACATTAAGCTGATCTAAAGTGACAGTAATGTCATTTATAATGTTGGAAAAAAAGCTTTTGTTTTAACCTTTCTATTTATCACATAATTTTTTGGGGGAAAGTAGCACAGTTTCCACAAAAATGTTTTCAAAATTGTTAAGTAATGTTTCTGCAATCACAGGAATAAATTACATTTTAAAATATATTAAAATAGAAAAATTATTTTAAATGGTAATAATTATGTTATTACCATTTTACTGTATTTTTGAGCAAATAAATGCAGCCTTGGTGAGCATAAGAGACTTCTTTCAAAAACAAAAAAATCTTACCGACCACAAACTTTTGAGCATTAGTGTAGATGAATGATTATACTTTGTGAAACACAACTGATTTTCATGGAATTGGGGTTTAAAAAACCTCTGCTTTAAAGAAATGTTCATGGGTCTAAAACAAGCTAAAATGGCATTTGACAAACTTTTCAATTGTCATTAAATTTTTTTTTGGTTTGTTTGTTTTATATCCATTGTAGTTGCATTATAGTATTTTTTCACACACACACACACACACACACACACAAAAGACAGGTCAACATTATTTTCTGTGGTGATCAACATTTTGCCATAAGTGCAGGTGATTAAATTGTACTAAACTTGAAGTATTCTTTAAGATTCACATGATATAAAATGCCCTGCCATTCTGGGGAATAACAACCTGGCATTAATCAAGACACTTCGCTTTTACGTCATAAGATGTGCAGCTATTTTTATCTGTGTAATGGCAAAAAAAAGCTCTTTGTTGAGCTAGATATCCACTTCCTTTTTTCCCTCTGTCTTGCATTGTTTCACTGTCATTCCTCTTTCCTTTTTTAGTTATTCTTCTATTCTGAAAGCTATTTTTATTCCTTTGCATTTTATATTACTTTCATGCAGTTCCTGTTATATTTCTGGATGGTGGACTCTAAAAACAACTTAACAACAAATGTAAGCTGTTCTTAAAGCAATTGTTCACCCAATCAATGGAAATTCTGTCTTCGTTTACTCACCTTCCTGTCGTTCCAAATTTGTATGACTTACTATCTTCTGTGGAACACAAAAGAAGATATTTATAAAAACGGACATTATATTGTCCATATAATGAATGTCAGTGGGGTCAAAAGTTGTTTTGGTCTCCACTGGTCATCACTTTATGGACACAAAAACATTTTTTTCATGATATCTTCCAAAGAAGAAACAAACTCATACATTTAGAACAACATGAGATGATTAAATGACAGAATATCCATTTTTGGGTGAACTATCCCTTTAAATAAGTGAAATACTACATCTCAGACTTCTGTGCTGCAATATAGGAGTGTATAAACCATTTTGTGAACATTTGGGTGTATAGTTCTTCAAATGCAACCTCTGTGTTGCTGTTGCTGTATAAAGAGGACTTAAGAGACTTTTAAAGTGTACCTGTGTGCAATTAGGTCTGGCCTAACCAATATGTGAAGTTTTGTGTGGTTCAGGGTTGTTTGTGTGCCTGTATTCACTCGTCAGATTTACGATGTGGGTCCGGCCATGCGGAACCTCTGCTTCTGGGCTGTGGTTCTGTTCTGAGAAGTTCCTAAAGCCCGAGCTCTAATCATGGGCTCCTGCCTGTTGTTTGATGTCTGTGGCCCCGTGACCGAGACGATGTGGCGGTCCCTTCAACGCAGGCCACAGAAGGGGGACAACTCCCAAACAGATTATGTGCTGCCATGCATGCGAGTCATATGAGACGACCACAACAGCAAATTACAAGGCTGGAATGTAGGAGGTAAAAGTTTGGTCTCAAACAAGGGTTATTCAAAGGGCTTTGACCAGCAGCTCTGACCGGCTGTGAGATGGTTAAAGGGATAGTGAAAGGGAAAAATTACTGTTCTGTCATTATTTACTCACCATGTTGTTCATAACCAGCATGAGTTTCTTTCTTCCATAGAACACAACTCTTTTTAAATATAACAAAAGTTTTTAGAACTGAATCTCAGAAAAGTTCAAAAAGCACCATAAATATATCATAAAAATGGTGTAAATGACTCATGCTCTTCATCAATGGTTCTCAACCTCTTGGATTCTCAAGGCCCCCCATTTTCCACAACAATGTTCAAATACCCCATAATTAAGGATCATTTTGTACTTTTTTATTTCTTCTCATAACTTGGCTTAACTAGAAAAATGTGTATTCATTATAAAAATGCCCATGCCAAATGCCAGTTTTAGAATTTTATTAATTGACAGGACTTTTCTAGGTCTAGAAATCCATCCCCTCTCTATTTTTCACAACAATGTTCAAATAATATTCAAAACCTTCCTTACTATTCCACTTATTCGTGATTTACTGGTTAATGATTAAGGATAATTATGAATAGAGTGTGTGTGTGTATATATATATATATATATATATATAT